GAGCACAATTCCTATCATGCCTTCCATCCATAAAAAAAAAGACACAAAATATAATCACACAGGTTATTAGGGGCAGGGAATAAGAAAAAGACAGCATGATGGTGAGAATAAATGACTTAAAACTGATCTTTACCGAAAAAATTTTCAATGTATTGAAAGAAGCCAACTGCTGCAACCTGTATTTCGTATTGTACTTAGAGAAGATATAGATAAGTGATTTCTAGGTGAGAAGCTCTAATCAGTCTAGCTCCATGTAAGCTGTTTTCTTCCCTACAAAATGTGAGTAGGGAAGCAGACAATAAGCTGAAAAAGCTGTCTTGTGAATAGAAATTACAGGCACACATGTTATCTCCAGCAGAGGTATTCCGAATAACCTTGAAGAGGGTATCTCATCTAGAAGCAGAGAGATTCAGAGTCTCTTCCTAAAGTATACACTTCTTACATAACTGGTTTACAGACATTACTGACAATTTTCTTACATATTTGACTGATCTGTCTCCATAGCTCTTTGTCCAGTCTTCTGAGGTTTGACTATGGTCGGTGAGCTCTGTTGCAGAGCATGTTTAGGTGATTTTTTCATTAGGCCCTTCCAAGACTTCTACTTTCACTGGAAAGCTCAAATAGGTAATAAAATGTTATCTGTGCTAATTCTATAGTCTGTTAAATATAAATTATCTGCAAATTTTTCCTTTAATGTACATAAATAGCTTTATGATATGCTATGCAAAGTCATCAACGAAATAGTGTTTTCAACAGAGATGGTCTTGAGCATTTAATTTAATCAAATTTATTATGACTTCTTAGTCTCATATTTGCATTTTAGTTGAAGAGATAAAACCCTATCACTGTCCTAAAACTGCTGAAGAGTATATGAAGTGTCTCAGATCATTACTTACTATTGAGGTCAAACTTTGCCTAGCTTAATACCTGCAAGACAAAGATAAGGCATTTCTGAACATTTCAAGAAGAGTACTCCTAGGTCTTTTAGTTAAATCAGTCTGCAGTTGGGTATATCCTCGAGAAGCTGCCTGGAAGGGCTTCCACAGGTTAGGAACTGAACTAAATTTATGTGGAGGCAAAGAAAGGCAGTGAAGCAGCAGAGAACTCTGTGAAACCAGTTGGCAACGAGCCATCTGTTAAGCAACCACAACTACGTCAAAGATATCTAAAAATACATCAGTTGGTTTAGGAACATAATGCACTAACGCCAATAAAAAGGCACTTTGAAAACAATCAAAACTGTGGTTTAAAATAAATCGTGTTTATTCCTATAGCAAAGAAATATAAGAAGAACTGCTCTCATAGACATTGTTAGGAAGTCCTGAATAGTTTTGCAGAAGAATTAATTGTTCATTTCTGCTTCTCTCTGGCATAGAAACTACCATTTTATTTCAGTCCCATTGTCTCCCCCTGGTTCCCCCACAGCCTGACACTTCTATCACGTCCTGTCTTCCTTTCTGCTTCTCCTGAGCTTTTCCCTCATGTCTTGTCTTTCCAGGCAGCCTTGTGCGGTCTTACTTCCATCCCACTCGGTTCTTTCACTCGCCCTCACTCCACTCTCATCCCTGCCCTTCTGCTGCTTGGACTTTCTCTCTGCAATTCTTCTTTTCCACTTAGGCTTCCTCATTCCCTTTTCCTGTGTAAACCTGCCAAACTCACCTTTATTGGCAACCTCCAAACTGGCTTTTCTACATTTCTCTCTCTCTCTTGAACTCTTCCTTTTGCCTTCAAGTGCTTCCACCTCGGTGGAACTACTGTCTTCCACCTCCATCTTGTATGCAGCTGTGTTTGCACTACCACCTTATGCGGGAGAAACTGGGGACATTTCTTTGCTGCCATATTAGTATTTCATGCAAATTTACTCCGCTGTTTTTCACCTACTTTTTATGTAGTTGCCAGCCTCAGGTTTGAGAAATCAGTGTGTAGCTTTAGTCCTGATGAAGGCATCAGTGTGACAGCTCTGAACAAAATCTCCTCAACATTTTCTTCTACTTCTGCCCACATAGTAGTGTCATCGTCACTGTAAGAGAGCCAGGGGCAACAGCCTTGATTTCTGATTCATTTTGTGCCGACCCCATGGCCCCCTGCAGCAGTCAAGAGCTGGTTCCTGGTGAGACTACCAAGAAAAAATTGCCCATGAAATGAAGTGTAACAATCTTAATTCAGCCTTACCTAGAGTACTGGTAAAATGTGAAGGTGCTGAGTCACTAATTCTTTAATAGTTTGCCTGCAGGTAGATGTTGGTAGCAGACAGTTAACTCCTGAGCTGGACACAGGTGAATATCTCGGTTTGACATCTCTTCTACCCCCTTCCTTCAAACCCAAAGGAAGTATTAGACAACCTGGCCACCAGCACCTTGGTACCTTGTTAGGTGAAATGTAGAGTTGCTACAGGTAGAAACAAAGTATGTGCAAATCGCTGCAGCACTGCTAGTTTCATTTGTATATGTATAGCTAATTAAGGACATACTTCCCAGGGTGATGGCGATTTCGGTTCCTGTACACTGCACAGTTTCAGTCATGTTATTTGAGGACATCCCAAGAGTGGACTTTCCAGCGGCTGAGTTTAAGAGCAGACGTCACTATAAAGGTTGTTTACTTAGCAGCAGCCTTTTTGGTTACATCCATCCAGTCAGGCTGCAAATACGAAAACAGGAAGCATTCCCTTGTTTGTAGAAGTCTCCCTGCAGTAATAAATATAAGCATATATATTTTGAAACAAGTATTTTTAGAAACTTCTGTTGAGGGCTGTACTGGTGTTTGGACTTTCTGCCCTTTCAGATTTTCTTGCTTAGTCTGTACATTTTTAATAATCACGTTGCCTGCTAGCAGTGACATTTTGTGAAGGTCATTTTTCTCGTGAAGTTGGAGAATGGACTTGAATTTCATTGAAGGACTCCCCAAGCTGCAGGATCGTTGTTTATGGAACTCTCTTGCATCTTGTACTACCTTTGAAGCCTGTTTAGAATTTTAACTAATGATATCTTCAAAGTGTCACTGTGCTCAAGGGCAGAAAAGAAATCTCCAAATGCATTTTATATTTAAAACCAGTTTTGAATAGCTTTGAAGCATAGTATTAGCTGAAAATAAAAGGCGTAGATATAGACTTACTATGTATGCACGCACACAGAGAATTCCATGTTTCACCAGCTTTTTCATTGCTAGCAAAGTGTCCCTTCACTGTTGCAATGCCTTTTTCTTCTATAATATAATCAAGTCTATGGATGGTCTTAAGAATTTTTAATGTGATGGATATTTTAATACCTCAGCAGGTATCTGCAGGCAGTTTCCCTCAGTGGAAAGGTTTTAGTTTTGTCTACGTCATTCCTAGCCTGCTGCTTCTCGTTTCCCCTGTGTAGAAATGCAGACACCGGATTGTATTTATATGCCTTTTCTGTTTCTGAGTAGAGGATGGCAGATACTAAAACCAGCATGTATGCTTGAAATAAAAGAGACTATGGTATCAGCTACTGAATTAAAATTGCTTGTTTTTTAGTGTAAATCAGAGTTCCTGCTTCCCGCAACTGAGCACATACTAAGTTTACTTATTAATAGAAGATCCGAAGGTTTTCTTTGTAGCTGCGTCTAATATCTTCCGTTACTGACATATTCCTTTAAAACATGTTAAATGTTAGTGGCAGTGTTTGAGAATATAGCCACTTGAGTATCTGTACCGTACAGCGGTATTTTTTTACTGTTTTATTTATTGCTTCCTGTAAGTGTTTGAGCTGTATAGCTAGTATAGAACTCCTGGATCCTTTTCACAGGGATGTCATTGGGTTAATTCTGTCATTTTCCTTCTCTATGACTTTGTTTTTCCATTTGTAAACTAGGAGCTTGCAAAAGCACAAGGATGTGAATTATAATTTAATCTTTCCCAGAAAATATATTGTCTGGTTTTCTTCCATTTTATTCTTTTGCTGTATCAAACTGCCAAGAAAATTTAGCTTATTCAGAGTGTCCTTATATTTAAGATGTGCTTTTCTATTTGTTTTGATAGCTCTACCATCAAAGTGTTGTAATTCGGCTCAATGATTTACAATGGATTTCATAGTTTTATGAGCATTGCTAACATTTTAGTTGTGCCAGGTAACTTAAAATCTTGTTTCAGAACTTGAAACAAGATGATCCACTGAACAACAACTACTGTGAGGGAAATGAAGAGAGAGTAGGACTGTAACCTGCCTTTGAGGTGTTACGTCCTAACTAGTTAGAGATTGGGAGACTGGACAGATTGTGCATTTGAGAAAATTTGTGCCAGGAAGCAAGGACGCAAGGTTGTGCATGTCCCAGAAAAATAGTTTTCCATTTGATTTCCAGAGTGGAAAAAGGACTGGAAAGACAAGACTTTTCAGACTTTGCTACCAGGCTTCTTGATGCCCACTGCCTATGGACTGCTTGTGAATAAAAGCCACCAGCCTGTTTGGAGCTGCTCTTTATCTGACATGATCAAAAGGGCAGGCCTCAGCCTCTGGCCATTATCATTATCATTTTACTGTTTTCCTGCCTGCCTGCTACATGGGCTTCCCTTTGCAAATTTTTTTTTCTGTCTTCTGCCCAGACCAATTCACCCTTCTCATGCCTGGGAAAATCTCAGTGGGAAAATACACATGGGATTGATGAGAAAGAGAAGGCAATTACGTTTGTTCTTTTCTTTGTTTATTTCCAAACATTCTTTCCTTTTTGTTAGAGGGAGTTCTTGTATGTCTGTGGTGTTGGTTAACATTTCCTTTCTATATAAGGTCCTGACTTTTGATATTTTCTATAGGAGTCTTTAAAGTACAGCTAACAGTGCTTCTTCCCAACCCCTTGTTTTTCCCTATTTTACACAACCAAAAGAAAATTCTTTAGCATATTTTGGTGTTGAGAATTTAGCAATGATATCTCTTGTCAGGAAAAAAAAAAAATATATATATATTCTTACACAAATTTTAGCTGGTTTCACATTTTTCTTTTCCTTTTGCTGTTTCACTCAGTTGCTATTTAATCTTTGATTGCAGGCCACTAAAGAAGTAATAGAGCGAGAAGCCCCAGGGATGGCCCTGGCCATGCTGATGGGATCACTTAATGTTACTCCTCTGGGCATGCTCTCTAGGTAAGACTATTTCCTTCAAAATATGAGGTGAACTATTTCCTTAGAAATAGACATTATCATGAAACAACTGTACACAAAAAACTGAAGATTGCCATTGTTCTCACAACCAGAAGTCTTACCTTCAGAGAAGTGGCCAAATTGCAAGAATGGTAATTGCATTCTCTCATTTAATTCTCTTTGTTGTCTCTATTAGACACCGTATTCTCCTGTATTTTCTGTGCCAGTTTATTTGTAATATTGATGCACTCTGTTAAACAGCTGTCTTTCTATCCTAAAACTGTGGCATTTCAGTATTGAGTGGAGAAATCTATATATTGTTCATCAAGTACTAAATTGCTTTGTTTAGGAAAAGGCCTTTAATAAATACAAGTATATTTATTTTTAATATTACTTTTGTTCCAGTATCAGCAAAAGCTCTCCCAGAAAGTTAAATGATATTTTATCCCACACTTTCAAATATAGTGTTTTAACTCCTAGAGCTTGGTATTTCTTACTAAATAATTAGTTATTGTTTCTCTGCCTGTTGTTTCATTTTTATCAGTGACATCACTTGTCATCCTATATTTCTTTCTGGAGTTGATTTTTATTTTATTCAATCTATTTACCTCATTTTACCTATGACAGACTTGGTAATATCAATACCTTTTGTAAGTTAGTTTGTGCTTGCACGTTATTTCAGGGTAACTGGGAAAAAATGACTGATAGAGGTTTTTTGATTTCTTGTTGTATAATGAGAGTATAACAAGAAAATAATTACCTAAGAAAGAAGGAATCTTCAAATCTGCAGCTTGCAGATACTTATATTTTTATAAGGCATTTGGATGAGAGGTTCTAGTGATCAACAAGGTATTTTAACACTTTTCACATCTGGTATCACATACCTGAAAGGGCAGCATTACCAAGTTAGCACCTTCCGATTCTGTCCAAATTAGCAAGTGTTCTAATTTTTTTATGTGTTAAGAGGGTTTTTTGTGTTTATCTCAAGGGAAAGAATAACAGAACGCTACCACAAGGAAAGGAAAGGTTAATTTAGCTTTTCTCTTTCTAATCAGGGCAAGGTTAACCATTTAGATGACGCTATCCAGTTTGATTTAGGATACGTTGTGATCAGGGAGGCTGAAGGGGTGTTCTAACTGCTTTTGATGTCCCATAAACTACAGCCACTTTGAATAGTAATTGAGACAATGGGAGATAACACTAGAAAAATACCGCATGAAATCATATTAGGCCTTAAAAAATTAAAACCTGTACTTCAGACCTAAAAGCATTCAGCATGTGACACTGAATTGAGCATTGTGCAGATCCTAAAGATTGCTATCCAAAAATTACAAAATTACAGCACTGTAGTTTCTCGTGCAGTCTCACTTTTACATGAATGCATGTGTGTATTACGATGACGTTTTTTGTAGAATCCTGTGCAAATGCTTAAGATGGAGGAAGGAAGTTCACTTTTCTTTGGTATGTTTGTCCTGTGTGTAATTTTGCATTGATTTTGGCACTCTTTAGTCAGAATTTTCTCTGAATGCAGAATCACTTCTTTGGGATTTTCCTTACACGTCATTTGTTTTTCTAAAATACAAATTGTTAATATATTTTCATGGAAAATTCTGCAAAATGAGGTAGTGTTGTAATCACACCTTACAATGAGCACTAAGGCAAACACTGAGAGGTCAAAAATACACGCTAATTTTAGGTACACACATTGAGAAAGGTACATCCTAATTTTTCGAAGTATATAACATTAAATATCACTTATCCTAAGTTTATCTCTTATTGACCTAATTTTTAAATAGAGTTCTAATGAATAAATCATGTCCAGATTTGGAAATGTTAGGTCAATAGCGTTGAATTTTATCACATGAAGTTTTAAAACTTGTTATAAGTTACAGCCTGTCTTCCTGACTGTGGACAAACATTAAGAAATGGTGAGTTATTCTGTAGACTGGATTCCCAGATACTTACGGCAAACGAGGGGCAGTGATTGGATTCAGTCCTAAAGTCCAACAGGGCGTACCTTAGAGCGTCACAGACCTTTTTATGTGTTTTCTGAAGGTGTTTCCTCTTCTCCTCTGTGACCTGCTGAAACTGTCATTTTCCTAGAATTCTCACTTCCCTTCACCTGATCTCCTCTCTGTCAACTACCCATGCTGTACCAGTCTTTACTGAGGCTTTTTTAAGCGCTCTCTGTCTCCATACCCATCTATTCTGCTTTTACGAGCATAATTTCTTCCCAGGGAGATCATATTTTTTTCTCCAAAGAGATCATGTTCTCCATTCCTACTTCTGCATCAGACCCCTATTTCTTTCTTCCCATATCCATTTTTTTCTTTATTCCACATCCTGTTTTTCCTTCCACTCCCTTTATTCCATTCATATTCTTTCTCAGACTTCTTCGTGGGTTTTTTCTTTTTTTTAAATTTCTGTCTACTGCATTGCAAGGCTGAGGGTCACGTGAGATCTACAGCATCTCCCTCAACTGTTCTACATTTGGAGGAATATCATTAAGTTCTCTCTCAAATTGCCCAGAACGCATACATATTCTGTGTGCCTTTGTGCTGTGAGCACACACAATGCTTTTTGCAAGCCATGCACTTCTTAGGTACTTCTACTTACTTCTGCATGCTCTCTTGAGAAATTTTTGGCAGCTCGGTTTCTGTCTTGAGCCATTAGATGTGACTAGTGGCAGCCTAAACCTGTAGCTTTCAGGAGAATGGCTGCTAATCTCACCGTTTTTTCTTATTGGTTGGTTGTACTGGTCATTTACTTTATAATTTTTGAAATTATTTAAAGCAGAATGAAAGAGCCAAGGAGGCTATTAAAGGGAGCTGTCTGCCAAACAAGATTCCACTTCAATTTAATTCCTCTGTGGAAAATTCCTGTTTCTTTTATTTTTAATATATTGTGAACTACATCCCAGCTATGGGATTTGCTGGATAGAGTTGGTACTCTGTAAATGAGTAAATTAACACATTTCTTTAACTGAGGCTCTTCATCTTTGTATTGCAGTAGACCATTCCTCTACTACCTGGAATTCTTCTTGATTGAGGGTATATAGCGTGCAAGAAGTGAATATCGGAAAACAGAGGCTAGGAGTCAGGAAGTATTCGAGCTGCCAGTTGAAAATAAGACTTCTCTTCAGGCTGGCTTGACTGTGATATCAAAAGTTCATTTGGGGGCACAAAAATGGTCTCTGTGATACTTAGTTGTGAGGATTTTGGTAGCTGTCACTAGAATAATTGCTACCCTGCTAGAAAATGCCATGCTGCCAATAAATTACATTCATTACTAAGTATTTGTTTAATAAGAGATCTAGGAAGTTGGCTACCTCACAAACACTGTCTTCTGGCTCAAAATTTTTGGTAATGCCCTATCAAGTAATTATATTCTTTTCTATACTGTCTTCATTTATAGCTCACGTTTTTGTTGATGAAGAGATTGTTACACATTTTTTCTCAACTGTAGCCTCCATATCTTTGTGGTTTGGTTTCATTCTTTTACTTTTTTTTTATCTTTATATCCCAACCTTGAGTTTTTCACCACTAGTTTCATAAACAGTGGAGAAAACCACAAGGCACTCTTTGCAACCTGAACACAAAATCCAGTAATTGTAATATTTTATTTAAAAATAAAAATAAAAATTGGGAGGAAGAGGCAAGCCCTACACAACCAAAAACATTCAGCACTTGGGTGTTTAAATTCAACCCTGCATCAACACCAAATGAATTCCCTAAAGACAAAAAAAAACCCAACAAAATAAAATCTGCCATCTTTGGTAATTGGTTTGGTCTTTTTTTGAAGAGGAAGGAAAAAGACTGTTAGGAAAAATTAGATTGCAATTGCATAAGTACAATTTTCATTTGAGAATTACTTCCCTCTGTGCTTATCCTATGTTGCATCTTTTTAAAAAAATAATGAATTAATGAACAAGCATGACTTAGCGTTTTTACCTGGCAAGGGAAATACTGCTTGACACCACCAATTGTATTACAGACGAACCATGTGTATGAGAAAATAAGGACTGTATCATAGAATGTGGTGGATACAAGTAAAAAATAGAACTAAAAAAGATGGAAATCTGGCCAGTGTTTATACTACCGCTTAAGTGTTAGACTCTGACAGCCTTGCTTGATGCTTTTTCAGTTCACCTTCTCCTGAGCTGTTTTATAGGAACACGATCAGCAAATATTTTTAGATGTTGGAAACTGAGTTTACAAATACTGGTAATAGAAATTATCTTTAATGTTCTATTCTTGTTTATACAGTGGAGAAAGGTGCCTGTAAGAATTTCACTCTGGGTTTTTTTCTTTTCAGACCTGTGTGTGGAATCAGAGGGAAAACTCTCATAATTAATCTGCCAGGTAGCAAGAAAGGGTCACAGGTAAGAAGTGTTCTTACTGATCTACTAGTGAAGACCCCTGATGAATACCTCCCATTGTTCTGAATGGTAGAAAATACCCACTGCAACAAGTTTTACAGAAGTGAATTGAAATGCATATTCATAACTGAGCGCACCATCATTCTCGATCAAGGACAATACAATTCTGATCTGACTGACGGTACTGTGTGACCAGGACAGCATTACCTGTAGCAGGCAGAGCTAATGAAGAGTTTGATAGTCTCTTATGCTTCCTCCTTCTTCTCTAGTCAGCCTGTACCCAAACCCTGGAAGGCCTAGTGTATGGTAGAACTTGTTGGAGTGTCAAGAATAGTCCCAGTTTTGGTCAACAGGAGAGGAAAAAAAGGAACATAATTCCTAAGAGTTTGAGGATTTTTTAAATTTTTTTTGATATGAGCATCAGACTGTTACACCCTTTATACATTTTTTTTAATTCCTGCGTTTTGCTCTGTTTGGATAGAGAGGTTTGGCTATTTTTGCTCGTGCTTACTTTCTGGCTGTTGAGCTGAAAGAAACACATTTAAACATCAGGAGGAGTTATTTTGTGTGTGTGTTAGTAAGGCTAGATCTCTCCAGTGCTCTTTCTTTCTTTGTAGTTGGCCGATAGATGAGGAAAACCAGCCTTCTCCACACAAATACTGCTAAGCTAAGTAATGGGCTGTGTAACCTGATACAAAACTGCTAAGGTAGATCCCTTATCAATCAGAAGAGAATATTTCTCCAGGGCTCAGACTGTGTCAGTGGCCTTGTTAAAAAATGTCTGTACCTCTGGCCTCTAACAAATGCTTACTTGGTACTTTATCAACATCTTCTGAACCAGAAGCACCCAATCTCGGAGGAGACAGCACTAATGTGTTTGGCAGCACAGCCCTGAAGTCACTGTAGCTTGGAAGACTTATGTCTGGAGATAAATAAAGAATGTTTATGTGGGCTGTCACCTGGACGTTGAAGAGGAAATGTTTTGAATACTATTATCTTAAGCAGCCATTACAGGCTTTCAGATACACTGTCTGCATGTTTCAGTGCAAGGACTCAGTGAGCCCTCCTATGATTCTGCCCTTCCTTAGAGCCTTTTTAGGAAGGAAATCTAATGAGGTTGTAATTGAGAAAAAAAAACAAAAAAAAACGTGAAAACATGCAGCAAGCAATGGAGGATGGTGGGGCAGTGGTACACGTACTTCGAAGGTCTTTCAGTTACGAGTGGGAAATTATACATATGTACGTATTTCACATGGCAGTGGGCCCCACAGCGCAGTGAACTGATGCACCAGTAAGAAGATTTTTTTCAGAAGTCAGTACTTCTGTTATTGAATTATGGAAGAGGTGAAATAGCCTGCAATCTGTGACAGGTACAGAAAAAAAATACTGTTTTCTGCCCTGAGGCACTCAGACTTGTGAAGATAGGCCAATTGTAGAAAAAGGATGAGGAAAAGAAATGAAAAAATGTTAATAAGTATTTTAACAGTAGTTTAGTGTAAAGTAAGTAATAAAAAGGTAATTCTGGTGGAAAAGAAAAAGTCATATTATTTCATTATACAAGCAAGCTTTTTATTAACTGATGATTTATTTGTTCCTGTCATGATGACCCTCCATTCTGTCACAATTTATTTTAATATGAAACATCTTTTAAAGTATCAGATCCTAGCAAAGATTTTTAGGATTAGTAGTAGAGAAATTTGTTCTGAAACAGGCTGAATCTGAAGAACCAAATATAGGACCGGTTATTACCAGAATTTTTTTTCATTTCTCTCTTTTACGACTTGATCATTTCCCTCATATTAATACAATTGTATAAGAAGCTTATATAAAGCTATGAAATTGAAGCATTATATGCATTTTGCTAATACAATATTAAAATATTAATAGAAAATGGCAGCAGTGTGAAGGCTTCATCTCGAAAATGGACACAGCGCATGCCAAACGTGTTTTCTCCAGAGAATGTTTGCGTGGCATGTACCACTGAGTCAAGATCCATAGAATACTTTCATTTTTGTGTTGTTCTTATCTATTTTCTTTTCTTTTAGCCTTGCAAAAGGTGTTTTATGAAAGAAGGCAAAGTGTGCAATTACTAGATGCTTATTGAAATAATTGTGTCTCTGGCAATTTTCATGATTGTACTAACAATTGCCTAAAACAACGAGTTTTACAAATAACACGAGCTTTTAGTGTACGTGCTGGGAACGTATTTATCGACAGTCAAGCCAGCAAGGCTTTATTTCAGTGGTAGAAGTGAGGAACATGCTTCTCTAATGAGTTAATCATTAATGTACTTTGTCATGATTACTGCTCAGTTCACAGATTTTCCTCCTTGTTTACCACTTGCCTGAGGTCTGCTTCTTACTGAAGGAATGATGGTTGTATGCTTCAGTGTTTTAGATTATTTTTAAAATAATACTGTGGAGACAAAGTAACACTGAGCTTTGCAGTTACATTAGAAGTTACATTTCTTTATTATATTTACAAATATATTTTACTATATGTTTGTTTATATACAACATTGTATGCTCATCCAGTTTACTCCAGTTCTTCATAGTGCCAAATTGAATGTTTGAAGAATATATAAATCTGTAAATTAGTCTGACTTTACATAACTCTTAAAGGGACAACTGAATTGTTGATTCTTGTTTAGAAGCTTTGAGGAAATGCAGTGTTTGTGAGTCATGTTTTTGGCTTACAAAATGGCTTATGTAAACTCTAGTAATTTCTGATGGATAGTTTGCTTTGTATTTTGTTTATATAGTATTTTTTATTTATTGAAAATATTTGTTACAGTATCTCTTTACAAGATGTTTATCATTATTTATTTTCTTTATATTCTGAAATGTTGGAACACGTTTTAAAAAATCTTCCTTAATGCTTGGGACAAAACAGAAAATGAAATGCAACAACAGGAATAATGGCAGCTTTCTCTGTCAACTTTTATGTACCCTAACTGCACTGCCATGGCAATTCATTCGTGTGACCCTGCCATCATTTTGCAGTAATTTAATGTTTATGTTCGTTATGCTCAAATGACATGAAAAAAACTCTTCACTGAAGTGCCTACGAGGAGAATGAGAGACAATACTCGTAAATCGAAGAAGGTAGCTTCCAGCTGGATGAAAAGAAAAGGGAAAAAAAACCACCCTAGTTTAAGGGTAATTAGAGCATTAGAACATGATGTCCAGAAGGGTTATGGAATCTCTGTTCTTGGATTTTTTCAAAGCTTTACTGAACAAAGGCCTGAGCAACCTGTCTGAATTTCATATTGACCTTACTGGAGCAGGAGGCTGCAGCGTGTGACATCCTGAAGTTCCTCTTTGATTTGATGAAATAATAGCATATTTTAGTAGTGGAGGTAGCTATATATGTGTATGCCCACGAGGACAAGAACAGTTACCTGGTGGCTGCATTTTTGCTTTCTTTAACCATATAAAATAAACTTTCTAATTGTTTTTAAGATAATAGAGCAAGGGAAGGTTTGAAAAATAGATTATTTATGAACATTTTTCTGTGAGTTACATGAAATTGTAATGACATCGGTGTAGTTTGTCACTCTTCCAGTATACAGGATAAGTCCATGAATAAAAAAGGATGTAATTATATAAAAGCATAATTATGCAAGCCCTTATGAATTGTTCTCTAATTGTGAAGGAACATAATAGGAACGATTTGATGCTAATATCCCTGCAGGGATAGAGTTAATGTTTTTATTCTGCATTTTTGTAGCGTTCTGCCAACTGCTGTGAACTGGTTTCTCTATTATGTATTCGTGAAAATTTAACTCTTGTTTTCTGAAGTTGTAATCTAATATTAGCTTAATTACAGTAGCCCTGTTGCACAAGTTATATTTGCATGAAAAAAGGCAAAAATATATAGTATAGTCCTCAGTTCTGGTTCTGAGATTGTTTTTTTACTCTCTGTGAACAATTGGGTAGGACATTTAAGGTTTTATTTATGACTGGGTGAAAATCTAAATCCTGAATATGTTTTAAGACAAAAACTGGAAAATCCCTACGTACTTCTGCAGGTAACTTTTCATAGTCGTTTCTCCTCTTGTTGTGCATAGGAATGCTTTCAGTTTATACTGCCAGCCCTACCTCACGCCATTGATCTTTTGCGGGATGCCATTGTAAAAGTAAAGGAGGTACACGATGAGCTTGAAGATCTACCTTCACCACCACCTCCTCTTTCTCCTCCTCCAACCACCAGCCCTCACAAGCAGACAGAAGACAAAGGAGTACAGTGTGAGGAAGAGGAGGAAGAGAAGAAGGATAGTGGAGTTGCCTCAACAGAGGACAGTTCTTCTTCACATATAACGGCAGCAGCCATTGCAGCTAAGGTGAGTCTGGTTTCTTTCCCTCCGAGACCCTTTAGTTTCAATCTCAGGTACTTTCCGCCAGTATTCATATGCATGTTAAGACTATACATTGATGGCCGTGAAGTCAAACAGATGTGGTGTAGATGCGTTTTGTAGAAATATAGCTTCATAAAAGTATGCGAATCCTGATTCGGGAGGTGATTTTAGATTTCAGTGGGAGATACGTTGCTTGTTATCTTGACAGTAACATGCATTTTTATGATACTGTTTTGGTATGACAGACTTTTTTTATTGTGGGGTTTTTTTAAATCAAAGTACGCACACACCTGAACGTGCAAAGTCCAGTAGGTGACATATTAAGAAATTACAACAAAATTTTGTAAGCCATATTATCTCTTTTAAAAAGAAAATGTTGGTTTCTAAAAACATTGAGTAGAAGTGTGACAGATAGCAGATTAAGTAATAAGCTATCCAAACTGCTGTATTCCAGACTGCTTACATGCATCAGAGATGTGAAATTCTACCACAAAACTAAATATCATCCCAGTGTCTTTATAGCCTTGTTTGAACCAGTAATCAAAGAACATTACTCAAACCAGAATAATAAATTTGTGATTACAAAGGGAAAAAATAATACTTACAAATTATTTCAGTTCAAATTTTAAATGCTTTCCAAATATCATATTATTTGAAGCAATATATAACTATTTACCTCATTTTTCTGTATTCACACAATATAATCTGATATGTTTGGAAAGGTTTTTTTTTCCAAACTGCTTTGTTGTATATATACTCCACAAATTGTTCTTTTAATTCCTATTATGAGAACTGAAAGTCTGAGTCACTCAGAATTCTGTTAATTTCTGAACCAAAGCCTATTACGAGAATTGAAAGTCTTAAGTAATTCAGAATTCTGTTAAACAATTTCTAAACCAAAGCAGCAACATTCTAACTCCAGAAATGTGAATTCAGGTCTGAGACATCTTGCCATTTCTAAGACAGCTGCAGCTGGAGATCATCTCCTCATGTACTGAAAATCCTGATTACATATATCTTTACAGGGATGAATTAAGGTAATTATTGCTTGCAAGTTTCACTTTTTATTAATGCAAATTTTAAATCTATTCATTACTTTTGATATAGGCAAAGATAAATAATATGTGCATTTTTTAAAGGCAGAAAATACCTGAGATCTAAACTGGCTGTGTTCATATAAGTTTGGCATTTTGGTGTCACCCTTCTTTTCACCTCATTCCCTTTTGGTCATTTGCTTTGTATAGTTTTATGTTTTCCTGTCACTGTATTCATAGCTGTTATGTGTTGTGCATTAGAAGCATCCACCCTACACCAGTTCAGCTGTTATCATGGCAAAAGGTGAACAGCCCATCCCTGGTCTCATCAGTTATTGCCATCACGCAGCAGGCAGTGCAGAGGAACCGGTAAGAGACACTTCCAAGAGGCTTTGGCACTAACAGTAGCTAAAAATACACTGCCTGTCTCCTAGTCTACTGTGCGAACAGACAGTGTTACGAATTTTCTTCTAACAAAGACACATCAGTGCTATCTTTTAGAAAACATGCTACAGAAAATATTTTGTTTAAGATACAGGGCTAAACAAGGTAAAGCTCATGTGCGTTGTCAGCTTGAATCGTTTGGCTGCTGAGATAATCATTGCTCTAAAGCCTGTGCTTTTGATTAGTCATCAGCTTTATCATCTAATGTACTCAATAATTGAATATAATTAAAATAATCTCCTAAAATTACTTCTTTAAAGCTATGAAATCTTGGTAACTTTTTCCCTTCATTTGCCATGCTTTGCTGTTTTTCTCTGGATTGTTTGTCAACATAATACAGCATTTGCACTGGGTGTTCATAGTTTGCTTTCATCACTTGCAGTTTCTCCCCTATTATTTGTAGAAGTGTAATTTCTTAAAAACAGAAAAAAAGATTTGAAAAGTCAAGATTCAGTGGACTTAAGTATTATTGGATTTTAGTGAATAGTGGGCAACTATTTTAATGAATGGTGGGAAGAACTTAGTTTATTATAACCCAGAGGTCTCTTGAAAAGTCACTTAGGAAATATGAAGTCTTTAAATAAAGTTCACACACCTGATGATAAAGCTATATACACACATTTATTCTAATAGTTTAATTTTTTGAGTTGAGATTATTAAACTAGAATTTGCACCAAGTTCTTCAGTATCAGTAGGACAGTGAATTCAGCCTCTGTGAAACCCACTGTCAGACTGTCATCCGGCTTCTGTGCCCTTTTGCAGATTACACTTGGAGTCCATAATCCAAGTCAGACCTTCAAACTCAAGAGAATGAAGCGACTAGATTTTTAGAAGGCTGGGGACTTTAAGTTGTCCTTTATCTATGTTTTTAAGACATTTTTTGCTCTTGTATGATACTCATAGTAATTACCATCTACAGCTTGTTTTCACAGTACCTCACCGGCACTGTTATCTCCGTTCTAGTCGTGTACAAAAGAGAATAAAGAGCTCGTATATTTTCCTTTCTCCCCCTCTTGTCAACACTTAGCTCTCTAATCTGAAAGTGTAAAAGTAGTTCTGGAAAAAGTCACATCAGTAGAAGCAATGACTAATGGTTATGGTGGATATCTTTCTCTGTCACTTCATTCATTTGTCATTTGTTTCTTTCTTCATCAGTATGTTACAGCAGATTTTTCACTCCAGCTGGTGCAAACAGGAACTGTTTCCACTGGACTTAGAGTTTTCTTGTAGCTGTTTAGATTTTTGAGACCTCTACCTCTGATAATTTTGTTTGAAACTGGGAAATTAATTGGGGAGAGACAGCATAAATGAAAGGTGTGACTTGGGAAGTTAAAAAAAAAAGAAAAATTCATCCAAAATGCAGCAGTGTTCCTGCCCTTCTTTATTGCTGTTTTCCAGGCTCGAGGAAACAGAAATTTCTCACAACTTTTTCAATGTCTTTAACAGGGTTAACAAGAAGTTGCCTTGTTTAGAGACTTAGAGTGCCTAAATTTCATTTCCAAAGAAAAAAAGCTTATTAAATTTAGATGAGAAAAATGAGACATTCCTCATATCACATAACATGTATGCAAAGAAATATCAATCATGTTCTGGTTTCCCTTTCAAAGTATATATTTGTTCTATTTTTTATGTATTTACATTTATGCAGTATGCATATTAGTACTTTGTCTGAAATCAGCAGATTATAGTGGTTTGAAGAGAGTATTAATGCAGGTTTTAGAAATACAACACACTCTGTTGTCATATTAGAGAAATAAACTTCCTGAGTGCCAGTTTGTAACTGCTACTAATTTAATTCTCTCAGTGACATTTTGTGTCTGTGAAAGCAAGCGAGCTGAAATTTAAGAGTTCTAGATAGATTTGTATATAGATTGTTTTGTGGCAGTTGTATTTTCGGTAAAGGTAGTGGTTAGCGAATAATTCTCAGTGAAATGAAATGCCTGTAATCATCTTTTCCCTTTATCTTCAGCTTCCTTTTCTGATTAATGTCCTGGCTGAAAATTTACCTGCGTTTTAAATTTTTCACAGGCACTTTTTTTCTCCTCACCTGCAGTTCAATGGAAACTAGAATTGTCTTGGTCACTTTGTTGCAAAGATTTTTTTGTTCTGAAAAAGTTGAAATTGGATAAAATTTTAGGAGCAATGATTGATGGATGTGGTGGATAGAAACAAAAAAAAAGCAGTTACTACCTGAAGAGGGGGAGACAATATGTTTATTCTAGAGTAACCAGAATAAACCCAAGGAAAACTGGATCATGGTACCATTTGTAAAAACAATATTGTATTTGTATTGTGGGCTCTTGGAGTATTTAAAGAGGTAATGGACCTATACACAATCATATCAAGATGTGTGCAGCTTTTTATCAGAGGAGGGTACAGAAAAAGTGTTGTCTTTGAAGAGTTAGAATTATTCTTTCTTTTATTGTGTCCTTTTATTTTATGCCTTTCTCAAAATGTAATTTTTTGCTGTATTGTCCTTAGTCATGGAGGTTAAAAGGAAGAATTAAAAGTTGTAGGCAGCGTTGGAGCTATGCCAATATAAAACTTGAGGATGTCAGCCTTTTTTTGTTTGTTTAACTTATTTAAAAGGGAATTTCAGGAGAAAAAGAGTACAAAAGGGAAGTGGTGCTTCTGACTCAAAACTGTTTGCGTGAACAAAATATCATTGTCCCTGACTACCTCTATGTATAGTACATCTCTAAGATGGCATTTGCAAATCAAGTAGAGGCCTGTTAGGCACTGTTTCTGAAGAGGAATATATCCCGAGCATAATCATCCCTCAGAGAAACTCGGCTAGCTTCATAATTTATAGTAGAAATTGCAGCACAAGTTACTTAGCCTTGAAAGATCCTCTGAGGAAAGCTGATTTTGTTTTTTTTTTAATGCTGACAGAAATAGTCTGGCAAAAAATATTGTCAGTCTAGAAACACAGCAGTAGAGCAGAAAGCAGGCAGTTGGTGGCACGCTTAGAAGAAGATCTGTTTCTTATAAACAGGTTATAAACATGACAAACTCTAACATGTGAAGGGGGGGTTACGGTGAGATAAGATCTCCTAGGTATAACCCACTATCTCTAAGTCAAGGTTGCTAAGTTAGACATGATCATTATTTATAGGTAGGAGCCATGATAGTTGGGGGGAAAAGAATGGCGTAAAAAGCAATATTTAATGACTCAAGTCTTAAGATTGGTCATTTTAACTATACAGAAGCAAGAAACAAAACTATCTTAATACTCTAACACTGATCCTAAGGATACAACAAAGAATGCAACAGATTTTAAAAGCAAGGATTCAAGCTTGTTCCTGGAAGGGCGAACTTTCTGGTGGCTTCTATTTGTCCTATAACCTTACTAGGCAAGATTGCTCAAAATGGCCAGATGAAGACTGGATACACCATCTCCATTTAAAAAAATAATCCTGGCTAGTAATGTCCATGTTAGTCGTTTGGTTTGTCACTAGATCTTAATTTCTTTCTTCCTTTTACTGTCCGCTGCTGCCATTTCGTGCAAAATGGAGCTTCTTCTGGTAGTTCTCTTGGAAGTTGGACATCAGGCTGCACTAAGAAATTCCTAATGAGGAGAAGGATCTTAAAAATATATGTATGCATTTTCTGGTCTGTTGTGATAGAAATAGCAGGAATTAAGAGCAATCTGATCTGGTAGAAGTGCTGCTGCTGAAGAAGAAAGAGGTTGATATAATGAAAACAAAATCAGGAATAAGCCTTTGTGGAGAGTGTGTTGTAACAGAATATCTGCTGCATTTTGTATTGTAGAACTACTGTTATAGACTGCTGTCAGAGGTATATATCTTTTCTGTGTCTTTTCATTTTACATGAAAAATTAAAAAATTAATCATTTTGTGAAACTACCGATCTAGTCAGTGGAAGAGCCGGTGTGATACCTGTATGACTGAGCCCAAATACTGCAGTAATAAGAAGCAAAAGGCTTTCTAAGATTTTGTATATTAAAACTAAGAAAAGCTGTATTCTTAAATGCATTCTTCTACCTCATTTCTTTGGAACTGGTGATAAAACTGAACAGAAGAGATAGAAGATAAAAAATAACGATAGGTTCACTTTTATACCTGAAAATAAGACCACTTTCTCCCTGTTGTAAGTTGGTGTAATTCCCATTTATTTAAGAGACATAATAATATCAGCTAAAGGATCTGTCCCTGAAATTCAAGCTTAGAAACAGACTCATAGAATCATAGAATAGTTTGGATTGAAAGGGACCTTTAGAAGTCATCTATTCCAACCACCCTGCAGTAAGCAGGGACATCTTCAGCTAGCTGGGGTTGCTCAGACCCCTGTCCAAACTGACCTTGAATGTTTCCAGGGATGGGGCTTCTCCCACCTCTCTGGGCAACTTGTGTCAGTGTCTCACCACCCTCACAGTAAAAAACTTCTTCCTTATATCTAGTCTGAATCTGCCCTCTTTTAGTTTAAAACCATGACTACTTGTGCTATTGCAGTAGGCTGGAAAAGATTGCATCCATCTTTCTTGTAAATGCTGGAAGGCTGCTATAAGGTCTCCCCAGAACCTTCTCTTCTCCAGACTGAACAACTACAGCTCTCTCAGCTTGTCCTCAAAGCAGAGGTGCTTCAGCCCTCCGATCATTTTTGTGGCCTCCTCTGGACCTGCTCCAATAGGTCCATGTCTTTCGTGTGCTGAGGGCCCCAGAGCTGTACACAGCACTGCATGTGGGGTTTCACCAGAGCAGAGTGTCAGAATCACCTCCCTCGACCTTTTAGCCACACATCTTTCGATGCAGCCCAGGAAATGGTTGTTGGGTCACGTCCAGCTTTTCATCTACCGGTACCGCCAATTCCTTTTCCACAGGTCTACTCTCAATCCCTTCATCCCCTAGCTTGTGTTAATACCAGGGGTTACCCTGGGATGGCCCATGTGCAGAACCTTGTACTTGGCCTTGATGAACCTCATAAGGTCACATGGGCCCACTTCTGGAGCTTGTCCCTCTGGATGGCATCCCATAGTGTGTCAAGTGCTCCACTCAGCTCAGTGTCGTCTGCAAACTTGCTGAGGGTACATGCAATCCCACTGTCCAAGTTACTGATACTGATGAAGATATTAAACAGTCCTGGTCCCAATATGGGCCCCTGAGGGACATGGCTTGTCACTAATTTCCATCTGGACATGGAGCCATTGACCACTACCCTCTGGATGGGACCAGCCAGCCAATTCGTCATCTACTGAACAGTCATCCATCAAATCCATACCTCTCTAATTTAAGAAAAGGATGTTGTGGGAGACTGTGTAAGGGCCCTTAGAGAAGTGCAGTAGACAGCATCCATAGCTCTTTCCTTGTCCTCTGATGTAGCCACTCCATCACAGAAGGCCTCTAGGTTGGTCAATCTCGAATCACCTCCCTCTCCTTCATGTGCCTTAGCAGAGGTTCTAGGAGGATCTGTTCCATAATCTTCCCAGGCAGAGAGGTGAGACTGTCAGATCAGTAGTTCCTGGGGGTCCTCCTTTCTACCTTCTTTGAAAATGGGTGCAATGTTTCCCTTTTCCAGTCGCCAGGGTCTTCACCTGACTGCCATGACTTTTCAAATGTCACAGAAAGTGGCTTGGCAACTGCATCAGCCAGTTGCCTCAGGTCTCTGGAATGCGTCTCATAGAATTATAGGTCTCATAGAATTATGCATGTTCAGATTCGTCAGGTGGGCACAAATCTGATCTTCTCTTACAGTGGGAGGTGCTTTGCTCCCCCAGTCCCTGCCTTGAGGTCCATCCATTCGAGAGGTGTGGGAAGAGAGGTTGCCAGTGAAGACTGGGGCAAAAAAGTTGTTGAGTACCTCAGCCTTCTCGTCATCTGTTGTTACTAGTTTGACAGTTGTGTTCATTGGGGGGAATATGCTTTCCTAGCTGACCTTCTAATATATAATTTGGGGGGAAAAAAATTCCCTTCGGAATGCATTTTAAACCAAATGTTAGCTTTGGATGGTGGTTTCTAGTGCTTTTGCCTGTACTCCCTCTGGAGAGGCCTGTAGCTATTGCAGCACAAAGCTTACATCAAGAATTTTTTTAGCTGAAATAAAGTCTTCAGTACACAGAATGAAGAGCATTTACTCACCGCATGACATTTCTTATGAGATGTCTTCTCGCTGCATGACATTTCTTCAGAGGGATTCAGTCATGGCTGATAAATGTTTTTGTGTTCAGAGCATTGTCCCCAAGTTAGGGAATGGGAAGTCGGCCTCCCTTCATGCCACAGTAAAAATCATCGTTGGTTGTTGCTGGGTTTGAAACAGAGGCCTAAGAGGAGAAACATTACTTTCCTATTATTTCTTGTTGTAGTATGTCTGATTTGTAAGTTTTTCAGGACAAATAGTATGTTCCATGCTACTTGAGTTAGAATATGATTTTACGTATTTGCTAGGTATTTGTTACTGGAATTATGAGAATGTGCCATTAACCACTGCCAGTATTGAGTATGAGGATATATGTAAACGGAAGAGTGGAGTATTCTTACATTTTTTTGATGTAAGGTTTTGAGTAAGTTTTAAATACAGTATATTTTTTATTATTAATTCCATATTTCTTTTTAAGATTCCAGATTCCATCATCTCTCGTGGTGTTCAGGTGCTCCCGCGTGATACAGCCTCCCTCAGTACTACTCCTTCAGAATCTCCTCGTGCCCAGGCCACCTCTCGTCTCTCCACTGCATCCTGCCCAACACCAAAAGTAAGTACATTTATGCCTTGCAAACTCCCTGCTCACACACATAATATCTGGGATTAATGTATTGCCTCTGCTGATCAAGGTTGGTTCGCATGTAAGGATTCTATCACTCTAAGTAGTGGATAACTGCAAGACGGGATAGTTCATTCCATATGTACTGTTGCACAGTTTAATATGTGGGTCCACCAACACATTATGGTTAATGAAGTTTGATGTTATTTCTTGCAATAGCAGTCATGAATATGAAATTGTTAACACCTTGAATGTCTTTAATATCCTTTAATAAGGAACATAGATAATCCTGCCACTGAGTAACAGCGTTAAGCTAATAGTATTTTGTTGACAAAATGAATGTGCAAATTTCTAGCCTGGGCTGGGGCAGTTCTGTGCCCCGCTTTATTATTGTTTGGTTTAAGATACTTTCAAACCAACTGGTTTTGTTCAAACTTAGATATTTGCTGCCTGACATTTGGAAACAAAAAACCAGCCTAAATTGAATAGAAAGAAAGTTTTAATGCCAACCTTGTGGGATTATTATTCAGTTCTTGCTGATTACGCTATACTATTTAATCATTGAGGTGAACTCTATTCTCTTTTAATCAAACTTTATATAGTATATGTCAAAAATTAAGTGAATTGACCAGTGGCAAGGCCTAGTAATATTTTCAAAAAACCTTTCAGCAGATGAAAACTCTGTCTGAATTCACTTTGTGTGTTCACATCACAAAGATCTTTCTGTGGCACCAGATGCTGACATACTAATAGACCCATAGCAGATGGAAAACAATAACATTCTTCCTCATCTAGTTCATGATCCTTGAAAATTATTCTGCTTACTAAAGTGATTGCCAGCATCTGCTAGTTCTTCCTCCCTGCTGTCTCATTCTTTTCTGTCAGCAAACAAGATTTATTGGCAACCACCCATAGAAATGTTTTGGTTTAGCCTATGGGATTGTTTTATGCAGTACTCACCTTCACTGAAATAGAATCAAACTAATTCTGATGGACAGCATACTTGAACTTCATTATATAGTCTGGTTTTCTTAAGAAGATATTCAGTAAGTTCTATCTGCAGACGGCTCCTTCATTTTTTTGCTAAAAAAATTGTCACTTGTCTGATGGCTTAAAAAAAAACCTCAGAGTTTATTACATTAGAATACTCATAGCAGAAGAGCAATATGAAGCAGAGAAACTGCACTGAGTTTTATGCCTGTTGACAAAAAAAAAAGTGTGCAAAGAAAACCAAAGGAGACTAGTAACAGGCATGAAGAAGAGACAGCACTCCTAATAGCTCTAAGTGAAGCCTATATATTTTCAGGAAGGTTATCCAAATGGGATGGAGTAAAGCTTATCTGTTGTGAAGCAGAATATACTCCTCTAGACTGTTTTTAAAGATTCAGAGATTACAGGAGGAAATTACAAGGACTTTGAAACAGATTAAAAATATGAAACTCTTCTTTGGAAAATTAGTTGGGATGAGCTCTTAAAATAATTGGATCATGCTTTGGTATTTCATGTTAAACCCTGTTTTTCATGTATTACTGCAGAATCAGATTTTGCTGAAAATATGTGAACCCACACCACTTTCATAGCAGGAATTGCCATGCAACATCTAGCTCATTTAGCTTTTCTGTGACGTCTTTCGAAAGTAGGTGGTACAAGCTGATACAGGGAAAGATCTAGGAAAGACCAACTGGGAAATAAACTTGGAGGGTGATCTCATCTGTTCCTGTTAACCTAGAGGTTGGATTTTTCACAAAACTATAAGCTTCTTTGCCACTTAGAGAGCTCTTGATTCACGTTATTTATTACTTTAAAAAAAACCCCACACTACTCATTATCTTTTTGTTCAGTCCTTTTCAGTACCCTCAAGTTCTCAAACATCATCTGAATTTGCCAGGAAATATGTTCATTCATATTCTTCAAAATTTTCAATAAGTCAAAATGTCTTCACTTACTGTGGTTTTCCTTCAGGATCCTGACTTTCTAATAAAGCAATATGAATTAAATTTACACTGAACCTCTTGATCTACACAATAGTGAGAATAAAGATAAATTGTACTTCAGCATTCAGTTGATATTCCAGGATGGGATTTTTTTTTTCTTCTTTAATTTGTAAGTGCGTATCTTTTCAATATTATAATTTGCTGGTTTAGGAACTCATTTCAAGGCACCAAAACTTGTATGTAAGAAAAGAAACAAAGGGGAGAAAGTTTCAGAAAAAAAACCACAATTTAGTTATTTTTGGTTATACACATCGTTTGGAGTGGTGGTCTAGCCATGGAGCTAGTCGCACTGTATTTCTTTGTCGAGTACATATTTCAGTTTATTTTGTTGTACCATTTTCATGTCGTATTTTTTTGTCCTAAATGTACATAAACCCTTGCATCTCTCTTACTGAATTTGCCCAGTAGCAGAAAGTTGTGTGTGTGCCTCAGAAAAAAAATAATCAAGCTTCTGCAATGACAGGAGCGCTTCTATTGAATGAAAGTAAGTAGCAGGTTACTAATACGTGGGGATATTGGAGAAAAGTTATGGGAGAGTGCATTACTAATACTCCTGACTGATCTGTTAGGATAAGTCTTTACCTTGTCATAATTGTATTTTGGAAAAACTAATGTTATTTATCTATACACACAGATCATGTACAGAAAATGCAACATTTATTTTTAAATTTTCCTTACTGTTTACACTTTATCTTCCATTATTTTCTCAAAATCTCTGTTTCTAACAAAGTAGTAAATGATGAATACTGAGTTTGAGCCTTTATATTTCAATCATAACAAGTCCTCAGAAGTTTAATTTCCTTATAAAAGAAATAATTATATTTTTCACAGTAGCCTCTTGCAAGGTCAGAACTTCTAAAGACAAGTTTGTTTTGGGAATGGTCCGTCTATCATTAGGTACATCCCCAAAACTAAGCAGACTTGCTTTTGTTAGCTTTTAATAAATCTCTGTAGAACACCTTCCTTGTTCTCTAAATTGCTTTTGAGTTCCAAGCTAAATCCACTGCGGCTTAAAGAGCATTTAAACCATATTTATAGTAGATGGATTCAGATATGGAGGCAATCTAACTTTTACTCAGGGGAAAATTGCACTAACAGTCCTCTCTTTTTCAGTCATTCAACCATAAAGTTGATAGTGATGTGACAAATATTTTTATCTTCTACAATATAATTTTGGTTTTTTTAAAGTGTTACTGCTTTCTCCATGAGATTAGATGAATTTGCTGAATACTCACACGACAAGTTTAGGATGGCACAGTACACTGCCTAATATAAAATACCTTTGACATATGTTGAGAATTTTTTATTATGGCTGCATTATTGTTGATTCTTGGGGCTTTTCTAAACTTACAGTATAAAATTTTAGATCCATAACTTCAGGTAACTTAAAAAAATATACCAGAGCAAGTGACTGAGTCATTCTTTCAAACTTCTAATTTTGTTCTACTCTTAAAGAGATGATACTAGTATAAAAGAAAATTACAGCTTTCAAGTTGAAGTCTTCACTTTTCCCATACTTAAATGACGTAATCAATATTTAATTTTTGGCAATGTTGTGTGTCAAAGTCAAATGAAGCAGATATAGAAGACCAAGGACAGGTTTTAAATTACCACCAGGCAGTGACAAGAGGTGTTCAAAGTATTTCACTTTGCAAGATCATCAATCTCACTGATGTTCAGTTCCTCCACTTCAATGTGCAAAGTTTCCTTCAGTGTTGTCTTTGATCATGAAGGATCCTGAGGAACTTGTTTTAGTACTTTTAAGATGAGAGTGCCTGGTTTTTTTCTTTTTCCATCTTGCTGTTTCATTCCTTACACTCCTTATTATTCTGCTTCAGAAAAGATCTTTCTCTACTTGCTGGTTATCTGTCCCTTCCCTAGCTGTCCATTATGTCGTTACACTGAATCAGAGAAAACCCTCAGTGGTGGTGTTACATCCTTACATATATATAGTTGTGATAGATAGATTTTAATTCCTACATAGGAAAAGTATTTAGGCTCTATCTTACGGATAAAATGAGCAAGCAAAGCTAGTTTTCGGAAGTTTTTTAGATCGTAGCAAAACAGTCATCTCGTCTATCCACCGCTCCGTCCACACCTTCATTGTAGCACAGTACTGCTAGTTAATCACTTTCTGAAACTTTCTATAGCTGTCCCCTAATAAGAACTGTTCTCTTTATTGTTCCTAAGTTGACACTCACTTGAAGACCTAATATTCCTAATGTAAAAGTGTGATACTTGTAATTTATGTTTCAGTTGAAGAGAATATCTGAAATGAAAAAGTGGACACTTTTTGAAAAAAGTAGAAATATAATGAGAATTATTTCCATGGTGAATAAAGTTTTATTATCTCAGTCATCTTTCACACTTGCTACCAGTGAGGAATGATGCTTTGAACACCTTCTGTCATGAACCATAGCTTTAATGCTGAATGTGCATGTTGGTGCAAGTTTTTGACACAGTCAAAGGAGTTACAAATTAATACAAAACCTATTTATGATTTTTCAGTCTAGTGTCATGACTTTTAATATACAACTAGTATGTGAAGTAAGGACATTAACAGACAGGAGCAGGTAGAGTTGGGAAGGTGCTTTTTTATCAATTATCAATTTTTTATCAATTATTTTTACAAGTTTTTCAGTAGACATACTCAAAATTTTTCAGTAGAAGATCAGATTGCTTACCAGAAATTCTTAGGTAGTAGTAAGATGCTGTTCAGGACATGATTAGGCAAGCTGCGTTTTTATCTGTGTTTTGTGTACGTTGAGCGCATATTCATTATCTTGATTCCTACTGTGTCTTCTTAAGGCAGTCATCAAGGTGAGAACAATATGACAAGTATGTGAATATATTTTAAAGTTTGTGCGCATACACTAAATTCTCAGGTTTTTTATTTAGTTATTCAGTTTGCATATGCTGTATTTTTTTTCTACCTAGGAACTTGCTTGAGTAAATAGCGAGTGCTTTGACACAGCTATTTAGCTATAATATGGTTAA